AAAAAATATTAAATTCTATATAGGAATATATTGCAAAGTTAAATATTAAATTAATTATTTAAAACTTTATCATTTAATGGATATTGGAAATACAAAAATTGAAAGACATACAAGTTGAGAGTGGATATTTACTAAATTATATCACAAAAACTATAAGTAACATATTGATAAGAAAAACACTTAATGCTTCAGTGGAAAACATGCAGAAAAAAATGCACTAAGAGTTCAAAAAAAGAAATAGAAAAGGCTGATTAACATAATGAAAATATGTTTTTTAACTTCACTAATTATCAAGGAAATGAGAAATAAGGGAATGATGAAATAGTTTTTATTTATCAAATAAGCAAAACAATTATAGAATATTAATATGCTAATAAATGTGTAGGGGAAAAAGTAACATCACATTGCTGATGTGTTTGTAAATTGCTAAACTCACTCTGGAAAATAGGCAGTGTACTCACTCTGGAAAATAGGCAGCATATATACCCCTCAAATGCTTATTCTCATTGGCCCAATAATCCCCATTCTGTGATATAACCTTAGTGAACAGAAATGTAAATGCAGATTTAATTTAACATTTTATATTAATATTTGTCATATGTTAGTGCAATTATTTGTTTTTATATATTATCTTGCCCACTTATTCACGTTGATTTCTTCAAGGTCCAACATAGCACTTGACCTAAATTGTAAGACACATAAAACATATTTCATAAAAATTTGTTAAATGAACAAATAAATAAAGAAATGAAGACATTCATCTCAGTATTATTTAAAATAATGAAATAGTAGGAAAATTATGATGTCTAGTTAAATTAACTTATATATATAATTGAATGTAACATGTAAGCTTTAAAATTATGTTTTATGAAAATTTTAATGGTTATGAAAACAACTTAAGTGACTGTTTAAAGGGTAGTTTAAAATGATATAGAACTCTATATACAATATGCTAAAATTTCTATTTATATACATGAAGATGAGAAGAAATTATTTATATATATGTATACATTTATATTTATATATATGAGAAGAAATTATTTATATATATGTATATTTGATCCAATTGATCAAATAATAAATATAATAGTCAAATTTGAATGAGGAGCTTTGATTTTCTTCACTATGCCTTTTCAGTGTTTTGTACCTTTTTTGTACTTTTAAAATTATTACTTTACTAATTTGAATGTATTCTTAAAATTAATTTTTATTAATTTTTATTTTTTAAAATTTTTTATTCTAATTTGTTATGTATGACAGCAGAATGCATTACAATTCATACTACACATATAGAGCACTATTTTTCCTATCTCTGGTTGTACACAAAATATAGACACACCATTTGTGTCTTTATACATGTATTTAGGGTAATGAGGTCCATCTCATTCTACTGTCTTTCCTACCTTCATAACTCCTCCCTTCCCCTCCTACCTTTTGCTCTATCTAGAGTTCATCTAATCTTCCCATGCCCCCCACCAACCCCATTATGAATCAGCATCCTTGTATCAGAGAAAACATTTGGCATTTGGTTTTGTGGGATTGACTAACTTCACTTAGCATTATATTCTCCAACTCCATCTATTTACCTGCAAATGCCATGATTTTATTCTCTTTTATTGCTGAGTAATATTCCATTATGTATATATACCACATTTTCTTTATCCATTCATCTACTG